CCAGGGGAGGGGGTTGTTTCATTTAATTTTATTATATATTTCTTTGTCTATTAGCTTTTTATCATTTCCCCCCTTATTGTTTATTTAGTTTCCACACCATTATAGTTTAATAAAAATATGAGACCCCTACCTAAAACAGTGTTTTAGTTTAACCCTCTGTCACATGATGTTTGGACTCTATTAAAATTAGTTTGCTATTTTTAGAAATTATAAAGGGCATTTATATAATTGTTTAAGCAACTGTTCTATTTATTTTTGGACATTTAAACACTTTATAGGAGTGTGGTTTCTATATGATAAATATCCAAAGATTATTTTCCACACTTCGCACATTTTAGTTTCCACATTTGAAAACTTTTATTTTTTACTTAAGTTTTAAATTTAAATTTGAACCATTTGAATCTAAACGAGATTAGCAACAGTAACAGCGGTGAGGTGGTCTCATTAGCAGAGGATTACTGTAGCTTAATTATCCGGGCGTTACAGTTAAACCCTTTTCTGAGCCTAGCCATGATGGGTTGGAAGTTCTCATTCTTCATCCTCCCCTCGGTAGTTGGCAGACCAAGGTATTTGGACTCAAAAGTGGTAGTCTCACCCTGAATATATTTTATGTCGTCTCTCACATGCGTCGGGCAAACTTCACGAAATAGCAATTAACATTTGCTCGTACATCTTTCAAATGTTGCCACTGGGCTGCAGAATGACCAATGCTTGATTCATATACGCTTTGGCTGTCATCGGCGAATAAAATATTAGAAATACCAAGAGTGTTTCTGGCCACTTTGATAGGAGTCAAGCTGCCGTCCAAAATTTCTCTATTTAGGATGCTTGTGAGTCCATCAACCACAAATAGGAAGCGATATGGGCTCAATCGATTGCCCTGCAATAGCCCCCTCGAGGTAGTGGGAAAATAAATCAAGTAGTTCTTCATTGCATCTAACTCAATACCTAATAGAGTAGACACACTTCATGACCCACTACACCCACTTCTGATTAAATTCGAGCTTAGTAAGGCACTCACGAAGGAAATTCCATTCCACATGGGCATAGGCCTCTGCAAGGTCTAGCTTGTATACACAATGGGTGTTAAGCTCGCACCTGCTATGCTAAATATTGTGAAAGCACTCAAAGGCAATGAACGCATTGTTTGTTATCATTCTCCTGGGAATGAAGGCACTCTAAGTATCCGAAATAAGCTCATCAAGGATAGGACAAAGATGATTGACCACACACTTGGAGATCACCTTGTTAGAATTAATCTGAGGCACGTAGTAAATCTAGCAAGGACCAAACAATCACAGGAGGCACGACACCAGGACTTTATAATGAGGTTCACTGACATGGAAACATTCTTGGGGCCTGACTATGGGCCCTCCACCCCATGACACCGCTACAATACGACACCCTGCCACTCGAGTGCCGGCACACGCCGTCGACTCCCCCAACGTGCATGTGCTACTATGTTGACAAATGTTACATCGTGTTTCAACACCCTCATTATATAAGAGGCCTAGGATACGCGAATCCTACTAGGACACTACAATATACCCTATCTACACATCGTATAACTCCATGTCCAATTGTAATCTTCCTTGTACAAAATATTTGACACAATTCCAACACACCTATGATACTACTCAGGCTAATGGGGCAAAAATCTTTCATGCACCGAGGGTTATTACCTTTTGGAATCCTAACAGTGATTGTGTCATTAATCCCATCTGGCATCACTCCATCATCAAAAAATTTAAGCACTCCACAAACCACCTCCTCTTTTAGGATACCCCAAATTCTCTTGAAAAACGGTGCTGGAAAATCGTCTAGGCCAAGTGCTTTGAGGGGACCTATCTTTTTTTATTTGCGACTAGAAAAGAGAATCACTCTCCTCCTTCTCGGTAAAGGGCATCATTAGGGAATCATTAATGATATAGCTAACCTTCTCGGGAATAAGGTGTATCAACTCATTAGGAGTGACATCATCGTCTTTGGCATACAAATTTTGAACGAATTTGGTCATGAGTTTCTATATACCCTCCTTCTCTTCGACCCACACCCCATTTTCATCTTTCAGTCTGGTTATTGTGTTCTTCATGTTTCTCCACATAGCTTTCCGGTGAAAGTATTTCGTGTTTTTATCACCTTCCTTGAGTCAAGTTACCCTTTTTATCAGTCTCCACATAATCTCTTCTCTAAATAAAATCTCATCCAACTCATTTGACAACACATTGATTCTTCTCTGTCTATCCTCAGTGGACGCAGGGAGCTGGCAGAGACTCTCAATTTTAGCTTGAAGATCCTGAGTTTATTCCTAGTGCACCCTCCACTTGGTAGTCATTGTTTATGCCGGCTCACAACTACATGGTTGTCCATTGCGATGGATCTTGTTAAGTGGCTTTTTCTTCAACAGACTATCAGAATGAAAGGATTTTCTGCAGAGTGGCACGCTATGATCCATAGCTTCGTTTCTAGAGGTAGCGTTGCCATTAAGGTCAATGATGACGTTGGAAACTATTTCCAAACGAAGAAGGGATTGCGACAAGGTGACTCGGTATCGCCCATGCTATTCAATATAGTGGCGGATATGCTAGCGGTCATGATTGAGAGTGCCAAGGTTGATGGACAAATTGATCGGGTAGTAAATCATCTAGTTGATGGTGGTCTCTCTATACCTCAATATGCCGATGATATGATTCTCTTCATGGATCATGACCACGAGAAAGAGAGAAATCTGAAACTGATTTTATCAGCATTCGAGCAACTCTCGGGTCTTAAGATCATTTTTCATAAAAGTGAATTGTTTTGCTTTGGCGAGGCTTAAGACGGGGCCCGCCTGTACGCTGAACTGTTAGGATGCGGGTTGGGTTAGTTTATGATCACATATTTGGGGATACTGATACATTATGGAGACTCACAAATGCTGAATGGACACACGTCGAGGAATGACTACAAAAAAGACTTAGTAGTTGGAAATGTAAACTGGTGTCTGTGGGTGGAAGATTGGTCCTCATAAATTCAGTACTTAGTAATATGCTACTATATATTATTTCCTTCTTCCAGTTACCGAAAGTAGTTTTACATAGGTTGGATTACTTCCGATCAAGATTATTTTGGCAAGGATATAGAGAGAGAAAGAAATATCGACTGGCTAAATGGAGTGTGGTTTGCCATCCCAAATACCAAGGCGGGTTGGGCATTCATGACCTCGAGGTTAAGAATAGGGCCCTCCTCGGCAAATGGTTGTTTAAATTACTAATGGAAGATGGTGTATGGATAACCCTCCTAAGAAGGAAATAAGTGGGTTCCAAGGTAGTATCCCAAGTATATGGGAAGCCTGGGGATTCTCACTTTTGGGCAGGTCTAATGGCTACGAAGAAATATTTCTTATGCTATTGATCCTTCTTGATTAAGGATGGCTCGGAAATTAGATTCTGGGAGGACAAGTGGCTAGGAAATGCCACACTCCGGGAACAATATCCAGCTCTAAACAACATTATGCGCCACAAAGGTGATACTATCGCCACGATAATGGAATCATTTCCGCTAAATGTGACGTTCAGAAGAGACTTAATTGGACCCAGACTCCAATCGTGGAACATCCTGCTCCAACGATTGTCTACGGTGCAATTGTCACATGGGTCTGATGTATTCCGATGGAACCTCCATGGGAATGGACAATTCTCAGTGGATTCTATGTATAGAGTGTTAATCCGGTCTGATGTGCCAGGTGTTAATAACAAGAAGATCTGTAAGATGAAGATACCTCTTAAGAATAAAATCTTTGCATGGTATCTTCGTCGCGGAGTCATTCTTACTAAATATAACCTTATTAAGAGGAATTGACATGGAAGCCCGCAATGTGTCTTTTGTCACCATGAGGAGACAATAAAATATTTATTCTTCCAATGCAAATTGGGTCGTTCTATATGGCCAGTCACCCAAATAGCTACTGGCTTGTATCCTCCCTGTAGTGTTGCTAATGTATTTAGCAACTGGTTACATGGGATTGATCACATGTTTAGAACTCTTCTCAGGGTGGGAGCGCTTGCCGTTATTTGGTCGCTTTGGCTATGTAGAAATGATAAGGTTTTTATCGATAAAAGTACTTCTCTGTTGCAGGTTATCTACAGATGTACCGGGACTCTTCGTTTATGGTCCTCTCTACAACGCGTGGAGAATCGAGGCCTGTTTACGATGGTGTGTACACGATTGAAGGCTACGGAGCGATACTTTTACCCAACATGGAGTGGCAGCATGATCTAAGGATTGCCCCGCCTCCACTTTAGGCGTTATACGGACTCTACATGTTTCGTTGTAATTCACCTTTTTTTTCATTTTGTGTGAGAGAATCTTATTTGGCTGTGTGCATCTTAATTATGCAGAGTCCGGGTATAATGATAAATCTTTTAAGTAATAAAGCATCCCTTTTCGAGAAAAAATGGAGCCTAATAGATTTGGGAATATCTACTGATGTTTCTTAGCTATGTAGTCTTTTATTTTTGGCTTCTCTATACCTCTAGTGTTTTTTTTTCAGCGTTTCATAGCTATACACGTCTAGCTAGAATCTTTTGCAATCGATTAATAGCTCGTTCTAGCTATTTCATCACAGAAATCGTGAGATTAGTTGGACACATGACGGTAGTTTTGGCCTCCGAAAGACTGTTGAACGTATTTCTAGCTAGTTCGACAAGATTTCCTTTTCCTGGCGCTGCCCTGTCAAATATTAGTAGGATTATGAAGCTAATAATTAAGGAGCATCAAACAGAGTAGAACGGACATTTAGTATCCCGTCTTCTCTTGGAGATCAAAGGAGATGACATGTTGACATGTAAGATCTCGTCATAATAATTATGATACTACTACTTATGTATCACAATACTTCTCGCTGGGGAAACTTGTACTAGTTTTCCCCAACCACAAGTATTTCAGTACAGAGGGAGTACATGGAAGCACCCTGCATGACACCCAGTGTGCGGTGCTCAAGCATTCCATTCAGGAAGCGTTCATGCACCCTCATCACGCGGGGGAAGCGTTCCATTCAGGAAGGAGCTGACCAGCATGAGCGCTGCCTCGGGCTGGTACGACGGGACCGCGTGCCCGGCTGCCCTCACAGTTGCAAACACCAACCCACCCGTGTATCCCTGAACGAACCCTCCAGTCTGCAACAAAGCACAGCAGGATTATCAGAGTGACAACGAGCAAAGACTTGCAGGCAAATCAGGACACGTAGCCATGCATGCGTGCTCAATATTCTACCTCATCCTTTACTATCCACGGGCGCCATTGCTCCGTGACGTCGAGGCCAAGGTCCTTGATGGTGTAACTCGTGGCGATGAACGGGCATACGGAGTCAAAGTCGCCGCTGAAAACGCACATCTCTCCGTCACACACACACACACACACACACACACACACACACACACACACACACACACACTGGCAGACCAGACGACCAGATGCATATATATACTTACTTGCGGCTTAGTGTGGGATTTGGCATGTTAATTACCTGTACAGCCACACGGGCAGGTGGTGCTCTATTAGCCATTTGAGCGTCGGCACCATCGAGGCCGGTGCATCCATCCAATTAAGTGAGCTGCAAAAATATTAGAGCGTTAGTTAAGGGCAGTATATTTTGCTGCAAACGTACGTACTATTTTGTAGTTTCTCCGATCCCAGTTAAGAAATCCTACGAGCAGAGTTGCCACTCTTGCGATCTAGCATGCAAAGCCTTTTGCACCCGAGGATCATTGAGGTACACGTATACGTAACGATCGCTGCAGATATCATACGACCTCGGTATCTGCAAAATTTAGAGCAAAACGTATTTATCAAGGTAGTAGGTGTGTGACTCTTTATAATTCAGTGGCGCTCTCTTACATAGCGGCTGTGGTACCGTGTTTCAATTGGCCCTTCCAGGCAAACCGGTTCATATACGTCGTACGGATCGATGTTAGCATGAGGGCCATGGATCATATCTTCAACGCATGCTGTGTAACCTGGCTTGTCTAAATGGCAGTTCTCGGTGATATTGGCCCGCACCTCATTTGATATCAATCCGTGGCTCCACTGATAGTCAACTTTCCCCTTATTGTTCATATTGGCATCAAGGTACGGATTGCCGACCTAATTAACCAAAACAGAGATGCACTCACTATACTGTAAGAAAAATAGAAACTATGTAATACTCCCTTTGTTTGTAAATATAAGATGTTTTTGATATTTAAATATAGACTACATACCTACCGACCGAAATGAATGAAAAAACACACTAAAATCTGTCTATATACATCTAAATCAGGAAAAAGTTAAAACGCAAGGGACAGACTGGAGCAACTATTGTTAATAATCAATTAATGACTCCTACCAGGATACCCCGTAGGTTTATGGAAGTTCTTGTACTGCTGTTGAGATTGTGGATGAGGATGGTGGCTGCGAGCTGGGGCACATAGTGGCCGGCGTAACTCTCCCCGGAGATGTAGAAGGGGCGGCCTTTGTACTCTGGGAACCTCTTGAGCCAGTTGAGAAGGAAGACAAACGCATCGTTGGCCGTCCTCTTGTCCCCGCTCGAGTCATATTCGGAGGTCGTGTTGGAGTACGAAAACCCGACGCCGACAGGCGATTCCAGGAAGAGCACGTTGGCCACTACAAGGATCTCACAAGTTGGATCGGATAATCGATTGTAGTTCTAGTTCACTTGCGCGCAGCGCCTTACCTTTGGTCCAGGTATGCAGGTTTTCGCTGAGAGTTCTATTGTCCTTGTTCACGCGGAACGGGCCCACCTCCATCATCGCTCCGTAGCCAAGCGATGAGCAGCCAGGACCTGCGCGTGCACCATGTAAGCATTGATAGTATCTATCATCACTGACCGCTCAAAGGTTCAACAACTGAATTGAAAGCATTTCGATCGTAAGAAACTAACCTCCGTTAAGCCACAGGAGGAGTGGCTTCGCGGCCGCGTCGCTGGCTGCCTCGACGAAGTAGTAGAAGAGCGCTCGGCCGTTCTTCTCGTGGACGGTCACGTACCCGCCGTACTGATTTAAGCCGATGGTGCCGCTAGGCTGCCCCGGCAGCACATGGATCTTATCGGCGGCCTTCAAATTGGCCAGGTCATGGACATAGTACTCTGTAGGGCTACGGGTAGTGGTAGTGATTCCTACCCTTGGTTCATCTATGTTGTTGGCATTGCTACTGCTCCGTCTAGACCGGATGAACCTTCTGAGCCGAGCCTCTTGCGATGCATCTGCGTGCAACACGGCGACACAGACGAGGAGGAGCAGACCCAAGGGGGTGTTCCTCATAGTCTGCTATGGTAAAATGAGTAACTATGTAGCTAAAATGGTGAAGATGGATTCGTGGTTGGAGTTCATATATAGAGAAATTTTAACATGGTCCCAAACAATTTGTTTGAGTAATCCATGCACATTTAATGTGTTTTAATGTGCTAGTATCTTTTTAAGTATGTCATATCTTCCTACCCACTAGAATTCATTGATGACAATATTGCAATCCTTAAGTAGTATACGATTTGTGTAGGGAAGACAATAATGTGTACTCTCTCCGTCTAGGCGAGTATTATTATTTTCCCTTTTATGCCATGATGTATTAACTAGAGGACCCGATAAGATCTTTTTGCGCAATTAAACACAGGCGTGGCTTGCCTGCTCCTGTGCCTTGCTCCCATCGGTGCTCCCGGGACACATGGCATACATCGAAAGCATCATACCATTTTCTTCCATTCACAACAATTCCGCAAATCAGACGATCAATACGGACCAAGACGCGGCCCAGCGGCTCTTGCCGGCGCTCCTCGGCCCTACGAATGCGGTCACCGCCGATGTCCATGACGCCGCAGGCGGGAGCCCGGACCATACAAGGATACTGGCAAGCTTCCTCGAATGTGGACTTTGCTTTCCACATTGATGGTCCTGATGCACCTTGGAGCCACCATTGCAAATCACCAACCAATGAACCAACATGACCTCATCGCTAACCCAAGCCACGGATATAAGAGGCAACAAGTTAGAGCCAACAGTGGACACCGGACAGGCACAGAAAACATGCAAACCATCGACCGATCAAAGAAACACGAAACGAACCCAAAACTAACACGCACCTTTCCGGCGTCTTTGCCATCTCAAAGGAATTGTGCGCTTATTTTTCCAGGTATTGAGGTCTAATGAGGACGTTGCACGTCATTGGCACCCGTTGCCTTTGTTCGGATGCTGAGAGCATCTCTAGCCACGTCTCCAGAACGGTCTCTTCATGCGATTTTCGTGCCGGCGCCGAAAAAACGGCCTAGTCGCATCTCAGGAGCCCGTTTTTCGCCGGCTTGGGCCGAAATCAACGCCGGCGGATCCAGACCGAACCTGGCACGCTGGGAGGCGCTTGGGGGCCGGTCGAAACGTTTTTGGCGCGAAAACCGGCGGGCCCTCCTTGGCAACGACTCGGCTCTTCTCGCCGCTTCGTCGTCCTCATCGCCTCAGTTCCCGCGGCGAATCAATGCCAAATTTGTCGCGCGCGCCGCGCCGGTCAGCCTCCTCCATTGATGCCTCACGGGCGGCGCAGTGAAGACCGGACGGCGCGCGTCCCTCGCCCGCCACGCGTACACACGACGGCCACGCGTACGCGTGATGACCCACAAGTGTAGGGGATCTATCGTAGTCCTTTCGATAAGTAAGAGTGTCGAATCCAACGAGGAGCAGAAGAAAATGATAAGCGGTTTTCAGTAAGGTTTTCTGCAAACACTGAAATTATAGGTGATAGATAGTTTTGAGATAAGATAAATAGTAACGAGTAATAAGTAAACAAGTAAATAAGGTGCGGCAAGGTGGCCCAATCCTTTATGTAGCAAAGGATAAATCTAGACAATTTCTAATAATAATAAAGGAGCTCCCGAGGACACATTGGAAATTATCGTCAAGCTAGTTTTTATCAGCTCATATGATTCGCGTTCAGTACTTTGATAATTTGATATGTGGGTGGACCGGTGCTTGGGTACTACCCTTACTTGGACAAGCATCCCACTTATGATTAACCCCTATTGCAAGCATCCGCAACTACAACAAAAGTATTAAGGTAAACCTAACCATATCATGAAACATGTGGATCCAAATCAGCCCCTAACGAAGCAACGCATAAACTAGGGTTTAACCTTCTGTCACTCTAGCAACCCATCATCTACTTATTACTTCCCTATGCCCTCCTCTAGGCCCAATAATGATGAAGTGTCATGTAGTCGATGTTCACATGACACCACTAGAGGAGAAGACAACATACATTTCATCAAAATATCGAACGGATACCAAATTCACATGACTACTAATAGCAAGACTTCACCCATGTCCTCAGAAACTAAAGTAACTACTCACAAAGCATATTTATGTTCATAATCAGAGGTGTAAAAATATGCATTAAGGATCTGAACATATGATCTTCCACCAAGTAAACCAATAAGTATCAACTACAAGGAGTAATCAACACTACTAGCAACCCACAGGTACCAATTTATGGTTTTGGATACAAGATTGGATACAAGAGATGAACTAGGGTTTGAGAGGAGATGGTGCTAGTGAAGATGTTGATGGAGATTGACCCCCTCCGGATGAGAGGATCGTTGGTGATAACGTTGTTGATGATTTCCCCCTCCCGGAGGGAAGTGTCCCCGGCAGAACAGCTCTGCCAGAGCCCTAGATTGGTTCCGCCTCGTGGCGGCGGAGTTTCGTCCCATAAGCTTGCCCCCGATTTTTTCCAGGGTAAAAGTGATGATATAGCAAAAGATGGACGCCAGAGGCCCACCAGGGGGCCCAGGAGATAGGGGGCGCGCCCTATAGGGGGGGCTCCCCCCTGTCTCCTGGACAGGGTGTGGGCCCCCTGGCCTATTTCTTTCGCTCAGAAATTCTTATAAATTCCAAAAAGTTGTTTCGTGGAGTTTCAGGACTTTTGGAGTTGTGCAGAATAAGTTTCCAACATTTGCTCCTTTTCCAGCCAGAATTCCAGCTGCCAGCATCCCCCCTCTTCATGGTAAACGTTGTGAAATAAGAGAGAATAGCCATAAGTATTGAGATATAATGTGTAATAACAGCCCGTAATGCAATAAATATTGATATAAAAGATGATGCAAAATGGACGTATCAACTCCCCCAAGCTTAAACCTCGCCTGTCCTCAAGCGGAAGCCGATATCGAAAAATATGTCCACATGTTTAGAGATAGAGGTGTTGATAAAAATAAAATACGGACATGAGGGCATCATGATCATTCTTATAATAGCAACATATAAAGATTCCATAATATAATTTCTTATACTCAAGTAACAATCAATTCACAATATCAAGTATGGTTTACGAACTTCATTAAGAACTGACAAACTATAATCTCAGTCATTGAAGCAATCACAATTTATCATAACATCAGAAAGAGTCAACAATAGAGCTTTGCAGCAAGTCCACATACTCAACTATCATATAATCTTCTACAATTGCTAACACTCACGCAATACTTGTGGTTATGGAGTTTCAGACGGACACTGAGAAAGATAGGGGTTTATTGTGTTGCCTCCCGACGTATTCACCTTTAGGTGATGTCAACAATAATAGCCCATGCTAACGAACATCCAATTGGATATGTATATCACGATCTTTCAAACACGAAGAGCTTGCCAAAGGATAAAATGAAAAAGGGAAAGGTGAAGATCACCTTGACTCAAGCGCAAAATAAAAGCATAAAGTAAGAACATGAAGTAAAAGATAGGCCCTTCGCAGAGGGAAGCAGAGGTTGTCATGCGCTTTTAGGGTTGATGCATAAAATCTTAATGCAAAAGAACGTCACTTTATATTGCCCCTTGTATGTGGACCTTTATTATGCAGTCTGTCGCTTTTATTACTTCCACAACAAGTTCGTACAAAGCTTATTTTTTCCGCACTAATAAGTCACGCATAATTAGAGAGCAATTTTTATTGCTTGCACCGATGACAACTTACTTGAAGGATATTACTCAATCCATAGGTAGATATGGTGGACTCTCATGGCAAGACTGGGTTTAAGGGTATTTGGAAGCACAAGTAGTATCTCTACTTGGTGCTGGGAATTTGGCAGCATGAGGGGGAAAGGCAAGCTCAACATGTTCGGAAGGTCAATGACAACATACTTTAACTGAGATGTGAGAAAACATAAACTATTACGTTGTCTTCCTTGTCCATCGTCAACTCTTTTAGCATGTCATACTTAATGAGTTCTCACAATCATAAAAGATGTCCAAGATAGTGTATTTATATGTGAACCTCTCTTCCCTTATTACTTCCTATTAATTGCAACGATGACCAAAACTACGTTCATCAACTCTCAACAACCTTTATGCCTCATACTTTCTATGTGTGAAGTTATTACTATCCATAAGATCAATATGAACTATTTTATTCTTTTTATTCTTTCTATTATTCTCAAGATCATAGCAGCAAAGCAAAGCCCTTGACTTTAACACTAATCTTTATTATAGATAACTCACGGATTTGATTACACAAAGAGAGCACTAAGCAAAACCTCAAAAATACTTGATATCAAAACTTCAATCTACGAGAGCAAGATACTACTAAAAGGATCGAACTAAATAAAACAGTAAAGATAGGAGTGATGGTAATACGATATCGGGGCACCTCCCCCAAGCTTGGCAGTTGCCAAGGGGGAGTGCCCATACCCATGTGATTATGTCCTTGGAGGTGATGATGATGGTGGTGGATAATCACACATTGAGCATAAAAGCTCCTCCAACTTGTGGATAATTCCCTTTAGCCCAGCAATATGACCCTTCAACAAAATATTCTACTGTGTGAGATACTTGTTCTCTATGTGAGCTAACTCAATCATCTTGAAAGCTTCGATCTCTGTTGGAGTAAAGAGGTTAGGTAAAGGTTGAGGGATATCTTCTTCTTTCACCGCCGGAGCTTGAACCTCCATGGCTTCCTTGATCCCTTCATCCTTGTTGATCTCTTCTGGTTCTTCTCTTTTCAGCTCTATCTTCAAAAGCCAAGCATCCTTGTCTTCATTGTTGGAGGAGGGTGAAGTCATGGTGCTCTAAATCTGCAACGGAGACAACTCGAAACGAAAACAGAGGATATTTGCGTGATACAGTGGTCAAAACCTTCGGGAGTATATATAATGAATTTTTACCGACCAAAATACGTAACGTGCAAGAAAACGGAGTCCGAGAGGCACACGAGGTGCCCACGAGACAGGGGGGCGCGCCCTACAGGGGGGGCGCGCCCTCCACTCTCGTGGGAGCCTCATGTCCCTTTCGGACTACTT